GTGTGGAAGCGAGCGCGGAGTAATGACTGGTGGAATATTGTCGTTATACGAACATGGGACAATTTTCACACCCAAAGGTCGCCGCAGAGGGCGCTTAGCCCTGGGTTAAGCGTTCGCTCATACTTCGTTAGCCCGTGCTAAGGTCTAGACCGCGTCTTTAAATTCGGATCAGATTTAACCCGTACTTAGCATTCCTTAGCCCGTGCTAAGCGTTCACGCAAGTTTTCTTTAGCACGGGCTAAGGAATTTGACCTCTTTAGCCCGTGCTAAGGAGCTGTGCGTGAACGCAACTATAGTGACCTAACTGCTGTACTTTCCAAAGTCAGTGTTGTGTCAATAGATAAATAAATAAAAATAAATAAATGTATTGTCTATTGTAAAGCTGCAATGTTTGTTTTGAAAAATAGTTTTTTTTTTTTTTTTTTTTTTTTTTTCTTTTTATTTCGTTTGGGTCGTTGGATATTGTTAGTTTGTTTCGTTTTGTTTTGTAATTCCTGATATCTGCATTGGCGTCAAGAATAATTTAAAATATGCAATATGAATTATTACGAACTGTATGTGTGTGGTTTTGTAGAGGAGGTTTCCCCGAAGTGAGAATTAATTGGCATCTCGATCATGCGTTCTTTATGGGATTATGCTGGTAATGAAAACAACAATTTTTCGAGGAAGAAGATATGTTTAAATTGACTGAAGATTGTTGTATTTTCTTAACAAGTTTGAGCATTCCTTAGGCCGTGCTGTTTCCTCCTGTGTGTGAATGCATTTAGGTATATCCGATATGCAATCATATGCGATTAGCTTAAATCTTAGCCCGTACTTCGTTAAGGTTGAACACTACTTATATCCTTAAGGTAGCAGAATAGTTTTTTGGGCACTTTTCACATTTTTTTTGGAAAATCACACGAATAGCTCCCTAAGGCATGCTACATACATTGGTGTATTTATTTTTTGAGCGCATAGTTTTGACAAACAGTTATAATCAAACTTACATAAACAAAATGGCGACTTTGACCATCGCCCTTTAAGGTCACACATCAGCCCTTTAGTACTGAGGGACTGTAGTCAAACACTATTTTATTTGTTTTATTCATTAACACTTACTCACTCCCGGAGGGAGTGGCAATGGTTACAGATAATAGAATAAAAAATAAACTTATCTACAAAAACAGAATATTAATAGAAAAAACAATAAAACAACTCCTTCTAAAAGAAATTAATATTAATCCCGTATATGTTGTCTAATTTCAAAGCACTTGTTGATATACTGTGCTACCTGGATGATAATACTATCATTAGTTAACAGAGCAGTGAACTGTTCTTCAGAAGGCAGTCAATCAAATCAGCAGCTGTATCAAACAGGACACTGTGTCTGTCACTATATTTGGGACACTCCACCATAAAATTCATTTTAAATGGTACCTTAGTTACACATGTCACAAACCATGTTATCAAGTTGAGTGGAGTACAGTTGTGTCTGCCACTCTCAATCTTGAGGGCATGGTCACTCAGACGGAACTTAGCCAGACTAGTTCTCAAATCAATGTTTTTGATATTCATGAGATATGGTTCCATACTGATATTGAATTTAAATGTTCTGTAAGTTCTGAGTTTGTTTTTTCCTTGGACTTGGTTGGACTTGATGATATTTATGTCTGTTGAAGTTAATTTGTCACTTTTAGTAATCAAACATTCCTGTTTAATATTCTGTAATTTCAAAATACCACTTGGTTTTTAGGCTTTTATTAACTGAAAAAGCTTCTTTAAGAACAACATTTTTAGTATTTTAAATGCGGTTGTTGTTTTATTAATTGATTTTTAATAAATATACCTAAAGAGTACTAATATCTCCCTAACTCGCTGCACATTCCCACAATTGGGGTTCTTTGAGAGACTCGAAGAAGATATCGACACAATCTGATTAAAATCTGATGTAGTGTACGG